GGGGGGGGGGGGGGTTTGCTGGTGGTAGAGTCCTGGCAGTCCAGCGGGCATGTTTCAGAGGAGAAGACTTAATTGATTACACACCCTCGTGGAGCAGATACTACTTCCCAGCCTCCCATTTCCACTCAATCAATCGCCAAACAAATTCGGCAAATAATAGGGTTCTATTCTGCACATATGCCAGCTATTTAGGTAGTTATAATACATGTCAGTTAAGTCATAAAACCCCCTGTTTATTTGCAACATATCTGGAGAATCAAACCATTAGGGTTGAGGGGATATTTAAGTCGTCTGGAGCTGCTAAACAATAAGATCGGGTATCCTAATATATTACCAAGTGCTAACTACTGGGCAATTGCCAATTTTATAACCTCAGTGCATGGAATAGACACAACCGTGTTTCACTGTTTTTATTACAGATCATTTCCTACTGCCAGACCAGACCCCCACAATAAAAGCTCTATAACAGCTAAAAACCAAAAGGCATGTCGATTTGAGATATACATATTGCTTCATACGCCTTGTATATAGTCTCCAGTATAAACAAATTATTTTGAGTGGCTTTACTTCAGGGAATCGGAAAAGTGAAATTGATTCCTATTTCTCTATTATTTTTAGTTAGGCACTTTATGCAGCTCATAAAGGCGGTTTCAAATAGTTTGAGAACGGCACAGAAACAGTTATAAAAGAGTTAGGGCCCCGCTCCTTCTCTGGTTGCTATAAATAGAGGGGTTTTTTTTGCTATTGATTCCATAGGAAAAGACTCGTTTGGGCTATCAGAGGTAGAGAAAAAAAAAAAAAGAAGTCTCTCTCTCTCTCTTCACCCACTACACATAGATTTATCACCTATTTTATCAGGCTGTTGTGCAACGTCATTCGAGTTGAAGAAGAAAAGTTTAAAAAAGACATCAAGAAAAAGTTAAAAAAAAAAAAAAAAAAAAAAAAGAGTTAGATTAAAGCTGTGCCACCAGCCAGATTTTCATTACTGGCATTTTTATTTTTTTTTTTTTCTTCTCCGGACAAACATGCGGGCTCGGTGGCTGGAGTACACCTTTGCAGTGGCTATATTTAGTGACCGGTTTATCACGTCACTGTCCAGTGAACTGAGAAATTAAACAAGAGGCAGCAATTCCACCACCATCTGATCTTAGTCCAAACTCACTAAAGAGAGAGGGACCCGTGCGACGCTTAAATGTGCCTCACCCCGCTCCTTTTGGCCTTTTGGAGCACTCATTACATTAGTTAACCTTTCAAATATGGATTTTCACGTGCTCAGTATTTTTTTTTTTTTTTTTCCCTTTGCAAATTGCTTTTGGGAAGCAGGCTGGTTCCCTTCCCTGCTATGCTGAGAGCTCCTCAGCTTCTCTTCCCACCACTGCCTCCCAGAAAAGGACGGTATGAACATACCCATCAGTTGGAATTAAATAACTTTAAAGCCATTTTAAAAGCTTACCAGGCGGTGTAAGCATATCTATTGCAATTTCATAGCTTCAGAGAGATGTATTCTATCTAGGCTCTATATCTTCTGTAAATTACCTAATGCTGCCTCAAAAAAAGTGTTTGCCATGGAATGAATTATCTCTATCTATATCATATCTATATGTTTATCATGGCTATAGCTTTTCAGATCTAGCCCAGACATCACCAGGGAGAATATAACGTGGAGGTTGTAGTGGGTGAAGAGATGATACACGTCCGTGTGTGCAGCTGCGTGTGTCAAATCCCTGCGTGTATGTAAATAAACCGGAGTGCACAGGATATTTTTAGTCCATGTCAACTTTCCCAGTTGGTCAGGGGCTGCCATAACTGCTGAAATAATATAGAATAACACACAGGGACAAACGCAGCGTCCCCACCACTTCTGCTTTAACTTTATCCCATTTAGTTCTTGTTATCCCCAGCAGAAACCCTTCCGTTTTCCTTCACTCCCAAACTGCTGTGTGTGAACACTCACTAATGTATAGTTTCCCCCCTTCCAAAACCTCTGCCTTCTCTCTTTTTTTCTATTTCTTTATTTCTCCTCCCCTGTCTCCTCTCTCTTTTTCTCCTCTTCTTTCTCCTTTTATATACTTTTCTTTCTTTCTCCCTTTCTTTCTCCCTTTCTTTCTCCCTTTCTTTCTCCCTTTCTTTCTCCCTTTCTTTCTCTCTTTCTCTCTTTCTTTATCTCTTTCTTTCTCTCTCTCTCTCTTTCTCTCTTTCTTTCTTTCTCTCTTTCTCTCTCTCTTTCTCTCTCTCTTTCTTTTTCTCTCTTTCTTTCTCTCTTTCTTTCATTCTCTCTCTCTTTCTCTGCCTTTTTTTCTTTCTTTTATTTTTTCTTTCTTTTTTTTTTTTTTCTTCCCTATTTTTCCCCTCCTGGGGTTACTCCCAGCCTCTTTGTCATTCCTCCTCCTTCCATTTCTCTTCAGCTTATCAATAAACCGGGAGAGCAACAGTAGCCGCTTGATTTGTTAGTAATTATAAGCGTACTGTTCCTGCAAACGGGATCTCTAGATGAGTGAGATCGCTTTAAAACGACAGCAGGAAATGGTGGGGAAATGGAGCATGGCGAAACTCAGCGTGAAGCTTTCAGTTCTTTACATGTTTACAATTTTCTGTGCATACATTAAGTCTTAGGGTTGGGGTTGGGCTTTTTTTTTTTTTTCTTTTTTTTTTTTTTTCGCGGTGGTGGTGCTTCTCTGTTGGGTTGCTCTCCACAAACGCGTGAAAATGCGCACAAATGCACAGGGACAAGAGGAAATGGAAGTAGTGCATGTCAACAGCACCAAAAATAAACAAATAGAGAGGATTATGGCTTGAAAATCGCCGAACAACAAGGCTCTAAGCTATGGATATCGTTGCAATATCCTTGGTGACTAATACGACAGTCGATCAGTCAATCAAGCATCTAATCAGAAGAAATATTCCTTCTATTTCTTACTAACAAACGTCATGGACAACCGTCTTACTAATGAGCTAGCAAACTGCCTTCAAATCTTTTTATGTGTCTATTGGGCGTGAAATGAGTAAAAAGTTCTTTGTCTATTGTAACACCAGGACTTTGTTGTTAATGATGATTTGGTTTGACTTCTTAACCTAAAAAGTCCAGGGACAATGTCTTATCAATTGCCATTAAGAGAACCCCTTCTTATTTTAATATTAATCAGTAAATACAGAAAATCTGTGTTCCCCTGTCCCTCTCGTCTCCTCCTCTTCCTCCCTCCCTCTCCTCTACCTCACTCCCTTTCCCCTGCAAACCGGGAGTAAATTTCCAAGTGAAATGTATTCCTTCCAAATTGTTTTGCATTCAATTAAAGGGGATCATAAGGTTCACTGGGTAATCCAAGGAAAAGCACGAATCTGCGTGGCCGAGAAGCAACATCTCCGATTCCCAAATCTATCACCTGAAAAGCTGAGGCCAGAGGGATTTTCACTTAATCATTTACCCGGATACTTCAAGAAAACTGGAGGAATTTTATGCTGTATTATTAAGAGCTTAAAAAAAAAAAGTGTTAAGACACCTCCTTTCATATGTTTCTTTAAAATGATATGAACAATAGAGCAAGGGGACAATGAGTTAAGGTGTTAGGGTTAAAGTGGCCTTTCGTGTTAAATCAGATGTGAGTGTCAAGACGATCGTCAGACACAGCTGAAAGTAAATAAATACATCAGGATAAATTTTAAGGTCACTGACTGTGCCCCAGAGTCACAAAAAAAAAAATTAACTTGGGACTCGGGCCACGCAAGACGAACGACAACTTCTTTCGCCATCGACCGTGCCAAGCAAATTTGGGATGAGCAGTTGACGAGGGGACCCGAGCTTTGATTCCTCACACGTGGAAAAACCTTCCCTTCACTTCAGCAGAAACCGGGGGGAATGGCCTCAAAACGTGCAGCCGGTAAGCCCTCAGAGCCGAGTTAAATCTAGTTATTAATGCTCTCGGTGATTATTATCGTCTTGATGATTTATCTGGCTCCCTCCCTCCCACTTCCACCACCCAAATCTTAATGGCACTAGGAGTTCCCGATGATTTTTTAATGTCTCGTTGGATTTTGAGGCTGTTAATGTACCGCATCCTTCTCATTATTAGTTTATTGATTGTTCATTGACCAGCCCCCCTTCAAAATCGTATTAACCACCCTCTGCCACTTTAGATTAGGAGAGTTTTAAAAAGCACCTTTCATTATTTCACCGCCACCACCACCACCACAGCAGAGTTCAGGCTTTGGTAGCTTAATGCTCTCTCTAATGGGGCAGCTAAGAGACGAGGGGCCACGGTCCCTGCCTATTGCATTAATAGCTCAAAGGGGGCTAATACAGAAAATTAGCCTTAAACGAGCTCTGGAGATCTCCAAATGAAAGAGCCATTTATCACGCTGGCTACCTTCACTCCACTCGTTTGCTCTCTCTACTGGGAACAACTCATTTCCTCTTAACTAAATTACTTCAGAAATGTCAAGTAAGCTCGGATAGCAAACATAACAAGAGGAGGGTGTATGTGGAATCTGTTGGGCGGGATCGATACGGGAGATAAATCGATACCCGCCTATGAATCCCTATATCATCTCCTTAATATTTTTTGGCAAAGCCTTTTGCATAGAGAGGTAATTCCCTCTGCAGGCCTGAAAGACCATAAAGAAGAGGACACTTACAACCTGGATGATAGAATTAATTAAGTTTAAACTTCACGTGCACATCATACTTTCCCCACTGTAATTAAAGCATTTTAGGCACTAAACTAGGTCTTGGTGAAAAAGACCCACTTCCCCTCCCTCTCATCTACCAAATCTGTATCACAGGGAGTGCTCCACTGCACAAAATATCAGTCAATGCTTATCTGTCTGTATATCCATGCCATCAGCCCTGCAATAACGACTTACAGAGCTTAAATAACTTATTCTCACTTCAAAGTGCGTCCTCACAGCTACAAACTGCGGGGAACAAAGCGAAATCAATACTGAACCCTCTCCGTGTCGCTTCTTCTCTCGCCCTGATTAAATATTGTCTGCTACAAATGTGACCTACTATTTATTACCCATTTCTCTTCTTCCGCACCCAGGAAACTCGCTGGGTGCAAGAAAAAAAAAGAAACCCAAAAAAGAACTGAGCTCACAGTATTGAGCTCTGCTGGGAAGTTTCTTAGAGCTCAGCACTACTTTTAAGGAAGAAAACACTCCTACGGTGATTTTAAAACAGCTGCAAGACGGAGCTCAGGATCTTTTTTAGTAACCTGATTTCCAAAGTGCATATATATCCTGTTCATGAGGGTATCTCTTCCTATGGCTGCAGACAGGGAGGTGTAATCCCACCAATATGGGGTGGGGGACAGCTGCTCGACCTGGGGCCCTTGCCATGCCCATACACAATAAGCACACCTCAATTTATACCTAATAGACCTTATTATTAACATTCACATTTTAGTTTTACTCTCCAACTGCACCACTCAGCTCGCACATTAAATGTCTCTTCTGTCCTGGTCATCTGAAGAAAGGAGAGACGCAAAGAGAGAGAGAGAGGGAGGTGGGGATTAAAAAAAAAGTGTATTTTGGACTAGGTGATCAACAGAGGAGTGTTGAGGCTGCGAAAAGGAAAATCCGAGCACGGCCCCATGTTAGAAAGAAATCTCTCGACCACAAATCAAGAACCAATTAATCAAATACACCCAAGAGGAAACACCGTGTATGAGGTGTCAAGCGGGGGTGGGGAAGGGAGGAGGGGGAGGAGAATGAGGAAAAAAAAAAAAAAAGAGTGAAAAAAAATACAACCAGCCGGTTACAGACCCTGAGCACGGAACCTACTAAACATTCAAACTGAACTAAAACAGGAGAAACAACTTTTTTTTTGTTTGTTTTGTTGTTTTTTTTTTTAAGGTAAGTCATTTTCTGTTTCTCAAAAAAACACCTTCGACTTTTCAACCATAAGTGGGCATAAAGGACGCTGTTTTAAGTTTTCATCTATCCTCCCTCAAATAACTACAACTTGATTGTGTGTGTGTGAGAGAGAGGGACTGTACGTGAAGATTTAAATTAAAAAACAATAAATAAAGGGAAGGACCTCATGCTGCCTTGAACACATTTTAAATAAACACCTTCCCTGTTGTTTCCCTTTCCATTCCAAATCATCATGTCCATTAAAGTATTTGTGCGCATTTGACAAATAATAAGGTCCTGGAGATAAGTGCTGTTGATGGTAAGCATAAGGGACGGCATTTCTAAGCCTCATCTCTCTGGTACTTAAAATTGAATCTAGAAATAGGAACTCCTTAGATAATTAAAGATAGCTTTCCCTGCATTTGCAGTGTGTGATCTGTTTAATGTCTATCAGCATAACACAACGCTAATCGCCAAGCGTCTTCGAGTGACTGTCAGAGAAATGTAAAAAAATTAAGCAGCTGCAATCCGCCCAAAATGAGTTATTGTAATTACATTTAATTAGTTTAATTAGTTAATTATTTTGCTTACAGCTGTACGAGAGACTGCAAACATTTGTTAATATCACATTCCCTTTAACAGTATGGGGTGGTTCTGCTGTTACACTAAATCATGGGCGCATATGTAGAAAGATTTAAAAAAATGGGCACGGGGAAGGGGGGATTCTTGGAGGAAGGGGGGGGAAGGAGGTCGGGGCTGGCATTTATTCCTAAACAGGCATTTATCCCTCTCATCTTCCCGTTTGATTCGCCTGGGAAATGCCTTTTAGCCCCAAAGGGAATCAACTCCCCCCATTCAAAGTCAAGGGGTCCCCATCGAGGATTATCGGGGGGAGGGAAGAGAAAGGGGGCTCGTGGAACCTGCATTTGAGCATGGGGTGCTCCATTAGGGAGCATTTGTGTAATTAAACCCTTTGAAGGACGGGGGAGGAGGGGGGGGATATCAACTCTCACTTTCCCATCTCTTTCCTTTTCCCTTCACTCTCCCGATCCAATCAACTGCTCATCTCGCTGCCACGTACCCCTGCTTCCCGGGTAAATTAATTGCCCCAAAGTAAAAAAAAAATATATATATATATCACGTAGATATTGCCACACAGTAAAAGTTTGTCTAGCTTGTTGGAATAATCCATACCTTTTTTAATGACAGACTGGTCCAATAAGTTCATACCGCTGTTATTGGCATCTTCAACTGACTGTGGATATAAAAACATCACTATTCAAATTGACTGGATATTAAAGAATCGCGTACATAAATCATGTCATTCCAAACTGGAGTTTCTGTTATTTCCATTTATATTAATTCACTAGGGGAGGAGATTTTTTTTTTTTTTTTTTTTACTATTACTATTGTTATTATTATTCCCTCAAATCGACAAGGAAATTAAATTCTTACAAATTATATAGTCTTCTAATAAAAAAAGAAAAAAAAAAAAAAGAGGCGTGAAGCATATGGGATGCAATATTGGTTTTGTTATCTTATAAAACATAGATATCACATAGACTCCTTTGCATTCGATAAAGCTTTATATTTCTTCCTTTTAAAAATCTGGCAATTTGGCAACATCTGCAAGATCTATTGCTTGACATAAATGAACACGATTAAGGACAACTTCAATTCTCCCTCCCTTTTCCTCCCCTCTTTCCCCCTCCCTCCCCCCCTTTTTCTTTTTCTTTTTTTTTTTGTTTAACCCTGCTACGTCTTAATAATTCAAGGGCCATTTACTTTTTTACATATAATAGTTTACATTATGGACTTTTAATTAAACGCAACGCCCACATGGTACAGGGTGGGAGCAGAAAGAGATTTACAGCTCCCGAGGTTGCTTCCAAGTCCTGAATCAGTGGAAACTGGGGGATAAAGGGGGAAGGGGAAGGGGGGAGCAGGAATATACATTATCAAAAGTATGAAGTGGTAAATTGATTGCTTAAAAAAAGTCTCCCGGTCTCCTTTTCAAAGCTTTTTTTGTTTTTTTTTTTTTTTTTCCTCTTTTTTTTTTTTGTGTCTTTTTTTCCAGCCCTCTTAGGAGCACACCTGTTATTATGGCATTAACTTCTTTAGCAGGGAAGAGAACAAAGGCGGGCACAGAGGACAGAGCCAATGTTGGGGTTCGTTTCACAACACCAAAGTGGGATACACAGGAAAAAAAACCCAAAAAACCCAAAAAACCCTAACCAAACAACCAAACAAAAATTACCGCTGAATCTGCGGGCGGCACAACAAAATCATCTCCCCAAAAGAAGAGGTGTCGTAAGAGCAATTTATTGCAAAATTACGCCAGGTTCCGTTTTAGGGTAAATTCTGGGTTTGGGAGAAAGGGAAGGACCTGGGGGTTTCTCGGTTTTATTATTTTATTTTTTCTCATTGCTATTCAGAGTTGGGGTTTTTCTGCGTTATTGCATATTTGAGGAGTTGACACCTTTTTCCCCCGATAAGGAAAACATCTTTACAGAAAAGCAATTATTTTCTTTCCTATTTTTTTTAACTTTATCTCTGCTACAGCGAGAGGCTGATTTTACCCGGATCCAACCCTTATCTTGGGCTCTCTCTGCTCAGCAGAGACATCCGAGATGGAATACGATTGAGGAGAAAATTACATCTCCCCCAAAATAGGACGGAACAATATTTTCTAGGAGCTCGTTCTTCTCATTTTCCTTGAACCCCCACTCAAACACACACACACACACGGTGGTTCCTTGCGCTGTGTGTTTGTGCACGGCTGTGTCTCTCTCTCTCTCTCTCTCTCGCTCCTAATCAATAGGCTACATACCTAAAGGGCACAAAATAAAATTACAAACTCTTCCCTCCTTTCCCTGAGCAGCTCCCAAAGAGGGATGAGGAGCAAATCCTGCATGGAGTGCATCGTGGTGCACCTCGGTGCTACAGAACTGGAGGTAAATATGAAAAGTCATTTTTTCCTTTTCTTTTTCCTTTTTTTTTCCCCCTCTCTCCCTCCTTATCCCACCTTATCTCTGGAGCCTGTGCTTGTGCCCAGGCTTTATGTGTGTGCGTGCACTCCGCTCGCTCCATCAGCAACGTGGGTTAGTTGTTGTAGTTAATGAGAAGACTCCTGTCTGATTTTCTATCTAATTACGCCCTCCTGCTGGGTTTTTGTACAGGATATTCGCTCAGCATGCTGGCAGTTAATAGTCACAGAGAGGATCGTAAAGATTTAATTAGGACTGCATGCGGAAACGTGGAAAAACAACTCAGACTTTTAATTACTAGACTTCTTTAGTTAAAAGTGATACCAGGGGTTACTTTAGAAGAGACTTGGCGTGTTTTGGTGCAACTTAACTTTCCGTGCCTCTAGTTAGCACGGAGGAGCGGGGACGGCAAGTGGGAGTGAAGAAGAGGAGGAGAGGAGGAGGAGGAGGAGGAGTGGAGGTTTGTGTGCAGGGAGGGGAAAGGTGATGAGTTTCCAGATAATACTTCCAAAATCTAGAGAGGAAGGTTCCCCTCCCTCCCCATCCTCCAATAACCTGATAGCACGGGGCTCCCTGTACACCATATATATCTTATTCATCACCTATGGATAGATCTGAGCGAAAACCCTAAAATTTGATCATTTTCTTTCCTTTTAAAGGGTCTAAACAACCTGAATTTTCCAGTGTATATTTTCTTTGTCATACCTTTTACTAGAATAACCCTACTTTTGCCTAGCCGAGGGTTAAAAAAAAACATATCTGGGGTTGCAATTCTATTTTTCAGAGCCCCTATTAGATGATGCAAAATTATTTTCAAGAAGTAGGTCTTCTCTGTTCCCTGTCCGAGGGCTGTAAATCGCGGATGATTGAAAATTCCTCTCGGAAGGGGCAGCGATGGCCATACAATACGTCCTGTTTACAATAACAGAGCGCTCTCGTGTTACAATCACTTCATTCCACCCCTGGACAATGGCTCACACATGGCCTGGATTTGGTGTTTAAGAAAATAACCACCGTTTCTTTCTGTCACGCACTCTTTTTTCCCCTCTCTCTCTCCTTCTCCCTTGTCAGCCCAACCTATTTACTCCGACAGCAGAGAGACACCTCTTTATCCAACTTTAGACCCAGATACCGGCTCAACTTTTGGGACTACTTTAAAAAAAAAGGGAAAAAAAAAGGAAAAAAAACCCAACACCTATCTGGTCTTGCCTGGAAATTCTTTCTAGTGTTGGCTGGTAATAAGTATATGAGCTCTAAACAGGAATCCTTGTCAATTGAACGGATTCCTTGGAGCCAGAATAAATCCACGTTAAAAAATCAGGGTGGAAAAGTGCCCGGCTTCATCTGTCACTGCTGAGGGGGGACAAGAATAGAAAATGCTGAGCGGTAGGAGCGAGGACTGGGCTGCTTTCCCTCCTGCTTGTGCTAACTTGGAGTTGGACACTCTTCTTCCTTCACGTGTTTCTCCTTGGGATACCCTCCTCTCCCTCTTCCCCTCCTCCCCCAGCCTCAGACCAAACTTGGAGAAATAAAGGGCCTGGTTCACTTCCCGCCGCCTCAGCACCCCAAAACACCAACCCTAGCCTTGCTAACCCACAGCCCCCTCTGCCCCGCTCCATCCCCATCCCAGTTGTCCCAGTTCAGCCCCAGTCCCGACCCGCCCGGGCGAGCGGGTGGCGAGTGGCCGCGGGGCGCAGCGCTGCGCTTGGAGCCTTCGAGGGGGAGGGAAGGGCGGGGGGGGGGCGGGAGGAGAAGCATCTTCCGCGGGTGCTGTGCCCTGCGCAACCCACAGAAGAGATGTTTAAGGGGAAAAGGAAGGGAGAGCTGCTTTATGTCAGCTGGGCAGGACTTTTCCTTCTTTTCCCTTCTTTCCTTTTCCCTCTTTCCCTCTTTCCTTCTTTCCCTCTTTCTCCCTTTCTCTCTCCCCCTTCTTTCCTTCTTTCCTTCTTTCCTTCTTTCTCTCTTTCCTTCTTTCCTTCTTTCCTTCTTTCTCTCTTTCCCTCTTTCCCTCTTTCTCTCTTTCCTTCTTTCCTTCTTTCCTTCTTTCTCTCTTTCCCTCTTTCCCTCTTTCTCTATTTCTCCCTTTCTCTCTCCCCCTTCTTTCCTTCTTTCCTTCTTTCCTTCTTTCCTTCTTTCCTTCTTTCCTTCTTTCCTTCTTTCCTTCTTTCCTTCCTACCCTCCTCTCCCTCTTCCCCTCCTCCCCCAGCCTCAGACCAAACTTGGAGAAATAAAGGGCCTGGTTCACTTCCCGCCGCCTCAGCACCCCAAAACACCAACCCTAGCCTTGCTAACCCACAGCCCCCTCTGCCCCGCTCCATCCCCATCCCAGTTGTCCCAGTTCAGCCCCAGTCCCGACCCGCCCGGGCGAGCGGGTGGCGAGTGGCCGCGGGGCGCAGCGCTGCGCTTGGAGCCTTCGAGGGGGAGGGAAGGGCGGGGGGGGGGCGGGAGGAGAAGCATCTTCCGCGGGTGCTGTGCCCTGCGCAACCCACAGAAGAGATGTTTAAGGGGAAAAGGAAGGGAGAGCTGCTTTATGTCAGCTGGGCAGGACTTTTCCTTCTTTTCCCTTCTTTCCTTTTCCCTCTTTCCCTCTTTCCTTCTTTCCCTCTTTCTCCCTTTCTCTCTCCCCCTTCTTTCCTTCTTTCCTTCTTTCCTTCTTTCTCTCTTTCCTTCTTTCCTTCTTTCCTTCTTTCTCTCTTTCCCTCTTTCCCTCTTTCTCTCTTTCCTTCTTTCCTTCTTTCCTTCTTTCTCTCTTTCCCTCTTTCCCTCTTTCTCTATTTCTCCCTTTCTCTCTCCCCCTTCTTTCCTTCTTTCCTTCTTTCCTTCTTTCCTTCTTTCCTTCTTTCCTTCTTTCCTTCTTTCCTTCTTTCCTTCTTTCTCTCTTTCTCTTTCTCTCTTTCTCTTTCTCCCTTTCTCCCTCCCCCTTCTTTCCTTCTTCCTCTCTCCCTTTGCTCCTTTTGCTTCTTTCCTTTTTTCTCCCCTCTCTTTTTTCCTCCTTTTCCTTTCTTCTTTCTCTCTTTCGCTACCTTTCCCTCTTTTTCTTTCTCTCCTTTTCCCTCTTTTTCTTTCTCTCTCTCTCTCCTTTCTCTCTTTCTCCTTTCTCTTCTTTCCTTTTCGTCTCCTTCCCTCCCCTCTTCTCTCTCTTTCTCTCCAGAGCACAACAATTACCGGCTTTTCTTTGGGGAAAGTGTAAATATCAGAGCACAAAGAGTACTTAAACTTTATCAGTTGGGGAGAGAAAGAAGGAGAGTAACCTCCTTTCTGCATTCAGGGAGATAAAACTCGCCTTGACCTGCGCGCCCGTTGGGCTGAGCCAGGAATGCGAGATGGGACCTGCGCATCTCACCCGGGGGCGGGGGGCAGGGGGCTGCCCCCAGCTCTCCAAACCAGTTTGGAAATCCGCAGAAACCAGCCACCCGACGGCCCCAGAGCTGGGAGGCGGGAGAAAATCCAACCAGAAAAAAAACCAAACAACATAAACCCCAAAAAACCCCAAAAACCCAAAAAACCCAACCCCCAAAACCCCAAAAACCCCAAAAAACCCAAAAAACCCAAACGCCTTTCTAATTCTAAAGGAGAAAAATCCAACCAGAAAACAAAACAAAACAAAACAAAACAAAAACCAAACCCAAAAACCCCCAAAACCCCAAAAACCCCAAAAAACCCAAAAAACCCAAACGCCTTTCTAATTCTAAAGCAACTAGTCCCAGCAAAGCTCGGGGGTTTTCCCGTAAAGCCCTAAACCAAGCCTCAAGCCAAAAAATCGCAGCCCCCCCCCGGCTCCTCTGCCGTTGGATCCTGGAATGTTCAGCAGGATCCTTTTTCACGGCTATTTTTCTTTTTTTTTCCCCCTTCTCATCCTCTTCTATTCTCCTTTCTTTTCCCCTTTCTGTAACTCTGAAGTCCGCATCTCATCCAGTGGTCCATATCTTTATTTTTATCTTGATCTTTATCCCAATTATAAATATATATATGTGATATATATGATAAGTAAATCTAGGGAGGGAAAAAAAAAGGAAGAAAGGAGTGGAAAGGAATCCCCAAAACCTGACTAATTCAGCCTAATGCAGGACCTGGTTCCTGGAGGCTCCAGGGTCCAGCTCGGAGGTCCCCACCGGTTGGCCATGCCCTGCTCCATCAAGGTGCCAAGCACCCCAGCACCGAAGCTGTTAAGGGCCTTTCTGTTTTTAGGAAATAACACGTGATGATGAGTTTGGCGTGGGACGAGAGAAGGCTGGGAAATACTGTGCTTTGAGCCCGGTCAAACTCCTTTGTTACCCAAAAGAAGGAATAAAACTATTTAAAATCAGTGTCACCACTATTTAAAAACAGTGTTACCCTACCAACTACACCTAAAAAAAATAAAAATAAAAAAAGGGTGTGTGTGTGTGTTCCTGATCATCAGTAATTGCATTTTGGTTTGGGTTCTGTTTATATTTTCTCTCCCTCCCGGATGAAAAAACGTAGTAATTTGACAGTTTCGTCAAAAATCTCTGAACTGAGGGAAACTGGTTGGGGTGGGAAAGCTGGGAAACAACTGGGATTTGAAAAGCCAGGCTTAAACTCTGCCAGCTTTGGAAACACGTGGAATATTTGGGAGCAGCATGTCTGCCTTCCCCCTGCGCTCTGCTGCCTTGGCCATGTAGGGGAGGGTTTGCAGAGCAGAGCCTGTGCGTGACAGTGACGAAATAAATGATCTTTTTTTAAAAAAATAAAAAATAAAATTAAAAAAAAAAAGCAAAGAGAAAAGAGGCGAGGGAGAGACAGTATCACCATTATAATCCCAGTTCGGAAAAAAGGATGGTAACTCCAATATTGCTATGAAAAAGGATGGTAACCCCAATATTGCTATAAAAGAGGATGGTAACCCCAATATTGCTATGAAAAAGGATAGTAACCCCAATATTGCTATAAATAAGGATGCTAACCCCAATATTGCTATAAAAAAAAGGATGGTAACCCCAATATTGCTATGAAAAAGGATAGTAACCCCAATATTGCTATAAATAAGGATGCTAACCCCAATATTGCTATAAAAAAAAGGATGGTAACCCCAATATTGCTATAAAAAAAAGGATGGTAACCCCAATATTGCTATAAAAGAGGATGGTAACCCCAATATTGCTATAAAAAAGGATGGTAACCCCAATATTGCTATCAAAAAGGATGGTGACCCCAATATTGCTATAAAAAAGGATGGTAACTCCAAGATTTCTATAAAAGCCTCCCTGCTGACTTCTAGCCATGGGGATGGGGGGGTGTCCAACCCTCCAACCTGGAAGGCATCTACATTGGCCAAGAGAAAGAACCGGCGGTGCCTTACCTGGACCTCCTCCATCCCTGGGTGTCCGATGCCATGCAGAGAAAGGCTGTCCCCCATGCCGGAGTCAAGGCCATGGTGAGCTGAATGCAGAAGGACATCTGGCCTCCTTACTGAGTGGTAGTCCCTCCTGGGGTCCAGTCCCGAGAGCTGGGGCAGGGCAGCCCGAGGCTGTGGCAGCAGTGACCCGGTTTCTGATCCCACCTCTTGCCTCTGCCTCTGTCCCCAGGGATGCTGCTGGGGTTGATGCAAGGGGTTTAGGGAGTAGGGGTCATTGACATGGGAGTAAGGGTCCTGGCTTTGGTGGTAAGGAAGAGGCTGGTAAGGGGGTGGGAAATAAGGCGGCTGGAAATCCGAGGATGGGGTGTGAGAGAGCGGAGGAGCGCTGGAGTAGGGTCCCTGGGAGACGGATCCCAACTGGGACAGCCTGGAACTGTGGCTGGGCACTCCATCATGCCGGTCCTACAAGAGGAAAATGAAATAAAGAAAAAACAAAACAAAACAAAACAAAAAAACCAAAACAAACAACAAAAAAAAAGAGAGGAGCTTTTAGGAAAAAAAATATTAAAAAGTAAAAGGAGCACAAGCCCAAGCCAAAATAAAATAAAATTAAAATGTAAGCAGTTGTAAACTAAGGTTCAGATGTGCCCCCTTCCCCCGCCGCGGATTTTCGCACCCACATCGTGGCTATTCCCAGTAACTGGCCAGAAGGGGGGAAGGGGTGAT